AGTCATCACTGACCATGGCTGAAAAAAGTACTTAAACTGTGAAGCTTAAAATCAGCTTTGAAATGTTATGGATCAGCGAAGTAAACTAAATCTGACACAAGCCTACTCAACTTAAATTTAGAAACTCTTTTTCAACATTAGTGAGTGTGGCTGCATTTGCGCAGAAGCTCTCTCAATACAACCACCTGGTCTCAAACCAGTTAGGACAAACGGGTTTGTGATTTCCTGAAGGGCCACCTTCATCTCAGCTGTTTGGCCACAAATCTCAAATGTTGCTGCCTTCTTTATAGCCCGGGACAAGCTTCCACCGGTTCCTTCAAAAATCAGAAACCTCCTAGATGGTACCACTGAATGAACACTAAGCTACCTATTCATGCCCTTGTAAATGTCAACTTGATATAGTTTATACATTAAATACATATAAACAAATAAATACATAAATATATGTATATTAAAAAAACCTGCTTACAGCAATGCCCCTCAGACTTCTATGCTCTTCGAAAGGAAGAGCAACCTTTCAGCTTTAAAATCTCCCATGCTTGGCACTGTTTGAAATAATGTTTGACCGAGGACTGGGATCCGTTTCCATTTTGCCAACACAGCAGATCAACAACCGCCCTGGGTTGTGTACTGCTTTCAGCAGCACTGCCACTGCGCTCAGCAAAAACCACCCTGTGTTCTGCAGAGTCAGACCATTTCCCCACTCGATGGGAAATTCTCTGTCTCACTGTTGTGCTTCTGTAATGTGCCCTTGCTTTGTATTATTCTTATAAACATCTTTGTTTCTTTAAAGAAGTCTCTGACATTCTCTGAATCTCACCTAAATTTAAATTAGGGACGAGGAAAGTAAAATAAATATAAATATATAAATAAAGCTGAAAAGACAATGCTTTGGGGAACGTTCTGGTGACATATATTAACCAATATAACATAAATCATTATAGGAAGAAAAGAAATGTACTCCAGCAGCTCGTTTTTTAAATTTTAACACGTGATAAATAATATTGCAAGGCTTAAGTAATTCACAGCAATATCCAGATAATGATACTATCTATTACTTCTACTTCAGATGCTATCAATCTTGTAATTCCACATACTTGTAGTGACATCTTTTCAGATCTCTGCCTATTCTTTTGATGGGTGGTGGAGAAAACTGTATGTGCAGATCCATATAGCAATGAACTTTCTAAGCCAAATACAAGAACAGAAACATTTCTAGGAGAGAGTGGCTTGCCAAGACAAACAAGTTCTGCCAACATTTTAACACCACAGAAGGTCAGTTAGGTTATAATTAAGTCTAATTACCATTCTCATGAATTGCAATAGCTTTTCACTTGAAGGTGCTTAATGCTCAGAAAAGGATGAATTCTTATGTTATATTTTCCAGAATCAAAGTAATGAGACATTCTGATCTTGGCTTTAAACCTGAATCATCACTTAACATCATAAAGAAAAAAGGTCTGTCATTATTAAAAG